TGGACCCCTCCTTGACCAGGTGAGGCAAGGGTCAGAGATGGAGGATGGCAGGGGCTGGTACCAGATGATGCCAAGCTCTGGCTACTGACACCTCAAGCTTCCCCCACCAGGCCACCTGAGGAGCTGACTTTGAGCCCCAAGCTGCAGCTGGATGGCAGCCTGACAATGAACAGCAGTGGCAGCCTGCAGGCAAGCCCACGCGGCCTCCTGCCCAGCCTGCTCCCAGCCCCAGCCGACAAACTGACTCCCAAGGGGCCGGGCCAGGTGTGTGAATGGGTGTGTGTGTGAAGTGTGGGGAGCAGGTGGGCGGCAGCAGGGAAGGTAGGTGGTGGGTTCCTCCCGACCCCCCTGCTGCTGATCCTGCTCTACCCAACATGGTCCATGTTTCCCTGAGGTCATTTCACCCTCCTGTGTTTCTTGGTGGGTGTCTTCTCAGCCTCCCTGTCCCCACCTCCTCTTCTGGGCTGTGGCCTCGTTTTTGACCTGTATCCCCACTTGACCTTTTGACTCTGCTGCCCCGTCTCTCATTACTGCTAATACTAATGCTTCGTGTCTGTGCCCCCATCCCTGCCTCACCTCCTGTCACTTAAGCCCCCATCTTTGGCCCTCCTCAGGTGCCTACTGCTGCCTCTGCACTGTCCCTGGAGCTGCAGGAAGTGGAGCCCCTGGGGCTACCCCAAGCCTCCCCTAGCCGCACCCGTTCCCCTGATGTCATCTCCTCAGCTTCCACTGCCCTGTCCCAGGACATCCCTGAGATTGCATCTGAGGCCCTGTCCCGTGGTTTTGGCTCCTCTGCACCAGAGGGCCTTGAGCCAGACAGTATGGCTTCAGCCGCCTCAGCACTGCACCTACTGTCCCCACGGCCCCGGCCAGGGCCCGAGCTCGGCCCCCAGCTTGGCCTTGATGGAGGCCCTGGGGACGGAGATCGGCATAGTACCCCCTCCCTCCTGGAGGCAGCCTTGACCCAGGAGGCCTCGACTCCTGACAGTCAGGTTTGGCCCACAGCACCTGACATTACTCGTGAGACCTGCAGCACCCTGGCAGAAAGGTGAGGAGCTTGGGAGGGGAAAAGTGTGTTAGCAGGAGGGACTTCAGATAGATTCATCCTCTGCTGAGTTGGCCTGTCCTTCCAGCCCCAGGAATGGCCTTCAGGAAAAGCACAAGAGCCTGGCCTTCCACCGACCACCATATCACCTGCTGCAGCAACGTGACAGTCAGGATGCCAGTGCTGAGCAAAGGTGGGTGCCACTCTACACCATTGTCCTCATGTGGGGATGGGCAGCAAGTGGGCAGAGGCTTACTCCTCCTTCCCCTTCCCACAGTGACCATGATGATGAGGTAGCCAGCCTTGCCTCTGCTTCAGGAGGCTTTGGCACCAAAGTTCCTGCTCCACGGCTGCCTGCCAAGGACTGGAAGACCAAGGGATCCCCTCGAACCTCACCCAAGCTCAAAAGGAAAAGCAAGAAGGATGATGGGTAGGGAGGAATCCTAGGGAGGGAGAGGGTGGTCTCCAGGCTGCCTGACGTAGCCTGAGGTGCTTCTCACCTATGGCAGGGATGCAGCCATGGGATCCCGGCTCACAGAGCACCAGGTAAGTGAACGAGCCCACTTTGTACTTGTGGAACTTCACCCTGTGGGGGTGGAGAAGGGCTCTGGGCCATTCCCTGGTCTGGTGTGTGGGGATGGGTGGGGCAGGCATCGTGTGACTGTCAGTGCTATTGACAGGTGCCAGAGCCCCCTGAGGACTGGCCAGCGCTAATTTGGCAACAGCAGAGAGAGCTGGCAGAGCTGCGGCACAGCCAAGAAGAGCTGCTGCAGCGTCTGTGTACCCAACTCGAAGGCCTGCAGAGCACAGTTACAGGCCACGTAGAACGTGCCCTTGAGACCCGGCACGAGCAGGAGCGTATCCTTGAGACTGGTAGCACAACATGGCATAGGGATGGGGGCAGCATTCTTGGCCTGGGAAGGAGTACACGACCTGCTCCAGGCCTGTTCCTTAGCTACGGCGCAGAGCGGCGGCTGGAGCGAGCACTGGCTGAGGGGCAGCAGCGGGGAGGGCAGCTGCAGGAGCAGCTGACACAACAGTTGTCCCAAGCACTGTCTTCAGCTGTAGCTGGGCGACTAGAGCGCAGCATACGGGATGAGATCAAGAAGACAGTCCCTCCATGTGAGTTTTGCATGCAGATTCCTTTTGGGTGGTTCAGGTGAAAGTGGGGGTACCTGTCAAGCTGCTTCTCATGGCTCCACCTTCCCCTCTTCCCCTCTGCCAGGTGTCTCAAGGAGTCTGGAGCCTATGGCAGGCCAACTGAGCAACTCAGTGGCTACCAAGCTCACAGCTGTGGAGGGCAGCATGAAAGAGAACATCTCCAAGCTGCTCAAGTCCAAGGTGCTATAGGGCCCAAGATGTGGGTGGAGGTGGTGGTTCCTGGGCCTAGTCAGGCCAGGTTGGGCTCAGGTTTTCAGGTTTTCTTTTTTGTTTGTTTGTTTTTGTTTTTTTTTTTTTGAGATGGAGTCTCACTCTGCCTCCCAGGCTGGAGTTCAATGGTGCAATCTCAGCTCACTGCAACCTCTGCCTTCCGGGTTCAAGTGATTCTCCTGCCTCAGCCTGACAAGTAGCTGGGGCTACAGGCGCGCGCCACCACACCCAGCTAATTTTTGTATTTTTAGTGGAGACAGGGTTTCACCATGTTGGCCAGGGTGGTCTCGATCTCCTGATCTCATGATCCGCCCGCCTCGGCCTCCCAAAGTGCTAGGATTACAGGTGTGAGCCACTGCACCCAGCAGACTCAGGTTTTCAACTTGACCCCCTCTTCTAACCCCAGAACTTGACTGATGCCATTGCCCGAGCAGCTGCAGACACATTACAGGGGCCGATGCAGGCAGCCTACCGGGAAGCCTTCCAGAGTGTGGTGCTGCCGGCCTTTGAGAAGAGCTGCCAGGCCATGTTCCAGCAAATCAATGATAGCTTCCGACTGGGGACACAGGAATGTGAGTGGGGTCATATGGCCCAAGGTGGGAGGGGTTATCCTCTTTCCTTCTGTTCCTCTTATAGTCCCCGTGGTCACCCCTCAGACTTGCAGCAGCTAGAAAGCCACATGAAGAGCCGGAAGGCACGGGAACAGGAGGCCAGGGAGCCTGTGCTGGCCCAGCTGCGGGGCCTGGTCAGCACACTGCAGAGTGCCACTGAGCAGATGGCAGCCACCGTGGCCAGCAGTGTTCGGGCTGAGGTGCAGCACCAGCTGCATGTGGCTGTGGGCAGGTGTGTGGACAGAGTACTGGGCAAGGTGGTGGGCTTGAGAAAGGCCAGACTGGGCTCCCTGTCCACTTCACCTCATTCACTTCCCTTTGCAGCCTTCAGGAGTCCATTTTAGCACAGGTACAGCGCATCGTTAAGGGTGAGGTGAGTGTGGCGCTCAAGGAGCAGCAGGCCGCTGTCACCTCCAGCATCATGCAGGCCATGCGCTCAGCTGCTGGCACACCCGTCCCCTCTGCCCACCTTGACTGCCAGGCCCAGCAAGCCCATATCCTGCAGCTGCTGCAGCAGGGCCACCTCAATCAGGCCTTCCAGCAGGTACGATAGGCGTTAGGCCCTGGTAAGGGTCACGTGTCTCTTGACAAGGCCCACACACCATACATTCCACCCACCAGCTTTGCACCTTCTGGCCCCAGCAGACTGTTCTTGGTTCCCTTTGGCCTCCAGGCCATTGTCCCTGCTGCTTCCTCTTCCTGGACCCCCTTCTTCCCACCTACCCCACCTTGCTTTACAACTACCCTTCTCAGGAACCATTTCCCAATCCCCTAGGGTAACTATACAACCCTGCGGGGCTCTCTCTGAGTCCCTCTGGAGCCCTCACTAGCGCACCCTGTGGTCTTCCTCCCTCAGGCCACACAGTTCAGATAAACAGACATTCCATCCTGATAATTTGCTATAAACACTGCTCTTTTTTTCTCCTCCAGGCACTGACAGCTGCTGACCTGAACCTGGTGCTGTATGTGTGTGAAACTGTAGACCCAGCCCAGGTTTTTGGGCAGCCACCCTGCCCACTCTCTCAGCCTGTGCTCCTTTCCCTCATCCAGCAGCTGGCATCTGACCTTGGCACTCGAACTGACCTCAAGCTCAGGTAAGTGGGGGCAGCCAGGAATGGGGAGATGAGCTGGGGAGTGGGGGAGTGGGAGCGAGCAGTTTGAAGCTGACACCCACTTCTGCCTGAATCCTCTTCCTAATTTTCTCCACCAATCCTCTCTGCCCTCACCCAGAGGGTTCCCTCTGGGCTTCAGTTCCACCAGGGGGCGCTCCCATCTGCTGGTGCCCACCTGTACCCTGTCCTTTCCCCCATCCCCAGCTACCTGGAAGAGGCCGTGATGCATCTGGACCACAGTGACCCCATCACTCGGGACCACATGGGCTCCGTTATGGCCCAGGTGCGCCAAAAGCTTTTTCAGTTCCTGCAGGCTGAGCCACACAACTCACTTGGCAAAGCGGCCCGGCGTCTCAGCCTCATGCTGCATGGTCTCGTGACCCCCAGCCTCCCTTAGCTGCTAAGCCTGCCTTGCCCAGGGGTGGGATGGCACTGAAGGCCATCAGACAGGCCTAGGCCGAGGCAGGGTCACGGCTGGCCTTTACCTGCTCAGGCCCCCATTTCTGGGGTGTTTGGGGGTCAGGGAGCAGGGAGCACTGGCCGTGGTCTACAGGGTGTGGTAGTCAGAAGGTTTAGGCTGGGCCCAGGGCAGGTATTGTGCCTGCTTGGGTTCTGCCATGCCTGGAGCATGACCCTGAGATCGTGACACCACTTGAGTGGAATTTTCCATGTTCCTTTTTACCTCTAATTTGGATCTTTTTGTTTTTGAAAAATATTGAGAAATTCAATTAAATGCTTTTGGAATAAAACGGAGTATGTGTGTGCTTTTGGTTTGTCTTTGGTGTGACTCTCATAACTGCCCTCTGTTCCTTCCCTGCCCCTCTCTTCCCTGTGGAGCTCTGTCTAGACCAACCCAGCCAAGGGGCGGGGTTACCCACTCATCTGTTCCAACTGCCTTCCCAGATCTCCCTTCTCCCTCCTTTTATGGGGTGAGGGTCCAGGGGCCTGCTCAGCACCAGCCTGTGCTCCTGGGAATTTCTGCTTTCTGAGGTCCCTTCTCGCTCCTTTACCCATTTGGGTGTTGGAGGCGGAGCCGCCAGCTGGGTTCGGAGCCCCACCCCCGGCTTCCATCCAATCACCGTCCCTCCCTCCGGGGGCTGGGCGGACGGGCTGCACTCCAAGCAGCTAGCTCCCGCACTAGGCTCTCAGCCAGGGACGATGCGCCGCTGCCACTGCCGCTGCTGCCGCCGCCGCTGCTGCTGGCAACCACCCCGTGCCCTGAGGCCGTTGCTGTTGCTGCCCCTCGGTGAGTGCGGGCGTCTGGGGCCCGGGCCACACCCCCTTCTCGCCCAGCAAGGCCAGACTGGGCATAGGGTTTGTGGGAACACTGGGCACCAGGGTGGAGAAGAGTTGCAAGGGCTCCAGGAAGGTGTGCTGGTGACTTCAGGACAGAAAGTGAGAGGCACAAACAGCCCTAGTTATGGGGGAAGGACTCCAAAATTTGCATCCCCTCTTATGATAAAGGGAGACATGGCAATGGCAGGACTTATAGATCGGTCATAGGATCCCTAAGTCCTCTCTGAAGGTCTGGCCTGGATCCCAATACCTTTGCATCCTGCCCTGTCTCTCCAAAAATACCTATCTTTAGAGAGAGTTTGGAGGGCCAAGCAAAGCTTGTCTAAACCGCAGAGAGATGCACTTGTTTCTAGTCCCGGGCCTCTGGACCACCCTCCCCTCCACCCTATCCTGATTCCTTCATGTGAACCCTCCTTATCCCACCTGGGGCCCCAGAAGCTCAGAGGAAGAGCTGACTTGGGGGACACAACATCCCCTCCCCCTGTGCAAATCCCAGTCTGGGTCTTACCTTGAAGGGGGCCTGGGTAGGTAATCCCCAGATTTGCCCTTTAGTTCCCTAGGGCACCCTTTTTCCGCTGAGTCACATCCCCAGAGTGCTCCCAGGTAAACAAGCCCCTGGGGGCTGGGGGACGGGCCTGGCTCATCCTATCTACCATTCCCCCACCCCCACCCCACTTCTAGTCCTTGTACCTCCCCTGGCAGCAGCTGCAGTGGGCCCAAACCGCTGTGACACCATATACCAGGGCTTCGCCGAGTGTCTCATCCGCTTGGGGGACGGCATGGGCCGCGGAGGCGAGCTGGAGACCATCTGCAGGTACCAGCGGGTGCGAGGCAGTGGCCCAACCTGTGCCACCATTGGGGACTGAACCTTTTATTTCCCAAACCAAAATCTCCTTGCCTCACCTAATCCCCCTAATCCCACTCCCTTAACAGATCTTGGAATGACTTCCATGCCTGTGCCTCTCGGGTCCTGTTGGGCTGTCCGGAGGAGGCAGCTGCAGTGTGGGAATCACTACAGCAAGAAGCTCGCCGGGCCCCCCATCCGAATAACTTGCACACTCTGTGCAGCGCCCCAGTGCATGTTCGGGAGCGCGGTACAGGCTCCGAAACCAACCAGGAGACACTGCCAGCTGCAGCACCTGCACTCCCCATGGCCCCTGCGCCCCCACTGCTGGCGGCTGCTCTGGCTCTGACCTACCTCCTGGGGCCTCTGGCCTAGCCTATCAGGTCAGGTGGCAGTGCCTATGCCTCCAGCCCTGCCCTGGCGGTGGTTGTCCAGGCTCTGCAGAGCGCAGCAGGGCTTTTCATTAAAGGTATTTATATTTGTACTAAGCTCCTTCCTTTCTCCTGGCTGCGGCCTTGCTTGGCTGGGGCCAGGGACTCCCAGAAACTGATCCTTTGCTTAGATGGAATGGGCGGGGCTGAGGGCCACCACAGGGGAATCAATCTTCCTCCTTACAAACACTGGTTTCCCAGTGGCAGCGCAAAACTTTCCATTTCGTGCAGGTCCCAAGAGCTCCTCCAGTGGAGACCAGAGATCTGCCGGAATGCACAGTCTTCCTCTACTTTCCTGTGCTGGCTTGGGGTCGGGAGGGCGGGGTCTCAGCCCTGCACTCCTAGCACTGCCTACCCCTTCTATCCCTGCCCCTGGGGGCCAGGTGAGCTGGTGAGGTGCCCTTGATCTCAGCTCCACTCCCTCCCCAGCCTCTGGGCTCCTGACCATTTCACCTCCTCCTCTCTCTGCCTGTCACCTCAGCCTTCAAGGCACAGCACAGACTGTGTGCTCAGTCCCTTCCTCTGGCTTTCGCGTCTGTCTGAAGGAGGCCTGTTCTAGAAGGTGGGGAGCCTCTGTTGAAGTCCACATTCAAGCCCCTGATACGACCTGAAGTGGCAAAAACTGGGGTTACTGTAAGGGTTCCTCTGGCCTCTGCTCTCCACAACCTTGTTCTTTGAGAAGAAGTAGGCGGTGTGGTGTCAAAACAATTGCAGAAGGCTTTCTGGAAGCCATGGAATGACAGCATGTGGTGTGCGAGGAGCCCCTCTTCATACCGGTGGAAAGGAAGAGCAAAATCAGCTAGGCAGAATCTGAGGAAGGAGGAAGCCTTCTGGGGGTGGGACCTTCTTCTGATCAGCCTTCTCCCACCACTGTCAGGATCCTATTCCAAGCCATCACCCCACGGTTTATAGAGGCACTGCCATAGTCTCCTCATTGACTTATATTGTCTCTCCCTCCACTTTATTTTTTTTTTATTTATTTTTTTTGAGATGGAGTCTTGCTCTTGTCACCCAGGCTGGAATGCAGTGGCGCAATCTTGGCTCACTGCAACCTCCACCTCCTGGGTTCAAGCAATTCTCCTGCCTTAGCCTCCCTAGTAGCTGGGATTACAGGTGCCTGCCACCATGCCCAACTAATTTTGTATTTTTAGTAGAGATGGGTTTCACCATGTTGGCCAGGCTGGTCTCGAACTCCTGACCTCAGGTGATCTGACCCCCTTGGCCTCCCAAAGTGCTGGGATTGCAGGCATGAGCCACCATGTTCGGCCTTATTCTTTACTTTCTAAATTGAAAAACTCAGCCAGGTGCAGTGGCTCACTCTTGTAGTATCACCTCCTCTAGGAATTATTCCCTAACCCTGACTACAAGCTGAATCAGAAGGCTCCTCTAGGTCCACACAGCTCCTGGATTCCCTTCTGCCTCAGTACTGATAGCACTAGCTTGTTATTGTCTAGGTACAGGTCAGAATTCCCCACTGTGGATTCCCCAAGGGCAGGAAGTCCTTTTTGTCAGAATCCTCATTGTGTCTCTAGCATCCATCCTAGGGCTGGATATAAAGGGTGCACTTGTGGGAGGGTGTGGAATGAAAGATAGAGCTCTTGTTTTTTTTTTTTTTTTTTTTTTTTTTTTTTTTTTTTTTTGAGACGGAGTCTCGCTCTGTCGCCAGGCTGGAGTGCGGTGGCGCAATCTCCACTCAGTGCAAGCTCCGCCTCCCGGGTTCACGCCATTCTCCTGCCTCAGCCTCCCGTGTGGCTGGGACTACAGACGCCCGCCACCGCGCCCGGCTAATTTTTGTATTTTTAGTAGAGACGGGGTTTCACCGTGTTAGTCAGGATGGTCTCGATCTCCTGACCTCGTGATCCGCCCATCTCGGCCTCCCAAAGTGCTGGGATTACAGGCGTGAGCCACTGCGCCCGGCCGAAAGATAGAGCTCTTAAGTCCAGCATGGGTAGTGCTACAGTCAGCAAGGGCTTGGACTGAGAATGACCCCACTGTGGAGGTGTGTCATTTTAGGGTGGCACCTTTACCCTGGGCATACTGCTAGGAAGGATGGTGCTGGGGCTGTATATCCCAGAAGTCTTCCAGAGCTGGTCTTGGATGACCAGGAGCAGGGGCCTGGCTGTTCTGGCCAGCCATCAGGGAGATTACTACCATCCTCCTGCTGTGACCTACTTTTCCCCTGGTTTTTGCTCTCTAAGTCCCTACCCTTCCATGGAATAGAGTGGGGCCTGGGGAGGGGGGAAAGAATCTGCTCTCTGGCCAGGGGCTTAAGGGCTTTGTGTGTTTTATCCTAGAGCTGGAGGAGAGGGGTGGGCTGATAGCCAAGCTGGCTGGGCCCTGGGCACAGCTGCCCAGGCCAGAGCATCATGGTGATGGTGTTTCGCACATTTGAAGCACTGTGGACAAGGAGTACCTTATTGTTCTGAGAGAGCCTGAGGGATGGATGTCCTGAATCCAGTCCCCTCTGCATTAATGTATCTCTTCACCTAAGGACCTCCCTCCTGCTCTTCTCCAGAGCCCAAACCAGCACACAGTAAGAGTTCAATAAATATTTGTTAATTAATGCACTGAATGTCTGTAAAACAGGAGTGTTGTGTAGATTTCTGAGTGCCATCAACCTGGAATTCATATTACTTTTAACCCTCACAACAACTCTGTAAGGTCAGGATTATGACCCCCCCGCTTATATTTTATTTTATTTATTTTATTTTTATTTTATTTATTTATTTATTTATTTTTTGAGACGGAGTCTCGCTCTGTTAGTGCAGTGGCGCAATCTCGGTTCACTGCAAGCTCCGCCTCCTGGGTTCACGCCATTCTCCTGCCTCAGCCTCCCAAGTAGCTGGGACTACAGGCGCCCACCACCTCACCCAGCTAATTTTTTGCGTTCTTAGTAGAGATGGGGCTTCACCGTGTTAGTCAGGATGGTCTCGATCTCCTCACCTCGTGATCCGCCCACCTTGGCCTCCCAAAGTGCTGGGATTACAGGCTTGAGCCACCGCACCCAGCCTTTATTTTATTTTTTGAGACAAAGTCTCATTCTGTCACTCAGGCTGGAGTGCAGCAACCCAATCCTGGCTCACTGCAGCCTTGACCTCCTGGGCTCAAGCGATTCTCCAGCCTCAGCCTCTTGTGTAGCTAGGACTATAGGTCTGTGCTATCACACCCAGCTAATTTTATATTTTGGCAGAGACAGGGTCTCATTATGTCACCCAGGCTGGTCTCAAACTCTTGGCCTTAAATGATCCTCCTCCCTCAGCCACCCAAAGTGTTGAGATTACAAGCACGGAGCTAACCTTATTATATAGCTAAGAAAAATTAGGCTCATGGGCCAGGCGTGGTGGCTCATGCCTGTAAGCCCTGCATTTTGGGAGGCCGAGGCAGGTGGATCACCTGAGGTTGGGAGTTTGAGACCAGCCTGACCAACATGGAGAAACCCTGTCTCTACTAAAAATACAAAAAATTAGCTGGGTGTGGTGGTGCATGCCTGTAATCTCAGCTACTCAGGAGGCTGAGGCAGGAGAATTGCTTGAACCTGGAAGGCAGAGGTTACGGTGAGGCAAGATCGTGCCATTGCACTCTAGCCTGAACAAGAGTGAAACTCCATCTCAAAAAAAAAGAAAGAAAAAGAAAAATGAGGCTTATGGCCCAGCGCAGTGGTCCATGCCTGTAATCCCAGCACCTTGGAAGGCTGAGGTGGGAGGATCACTTAAGGCCCTGTCTCAACAAATAGGCCAGGCGTGGTGGCTCAGGCCTGTAATCCCAGCACTTTGGGAGGCTGAGGCTGGCAGATCACCTGAGGTTGAGGAGAGTTCGAGACCAGCCTAACCAACATGAAGAAACCCTCTCTCTACTAAAAGTACAAAATTAGGCCAGGCGCGATAGCTCACACCTGTAATCCCAGCACTTTGGGAAGCTGAGGCAGGAGAATCGCTTGAACCTGGGAGGCAGAGGTTGCAGTGAGCTGAGATCATGCAATTGCACTCCAGCCTGGAAAACAAGAGCAAAACTCAGTCTCAAAATACATAAATAAATAAGCAAGTCAGGCATGGTGGTGCGTGCCTGTAGACTTAGCTATTTGGGAGGCTGAGGTATAGGGGGATTTTAAGGAATCAGAGAGACCAATGGGATTCAGGAGGATATTTATTAATTATTTAGGTGCACCGGCCCAGTCGGATTAAAATCTGAAGGACTGAGCCCTGAACAAAGAGTTAAGTTACCTTTTAAGCATTTTGTGGGGCAGGGGGAGATCTTTGCAGGGGGAAGCATATTACAGAAGCAAGAAACAAAGCCCGTTATTAAATTAATTGAGACATGCATTACATCATTTCTTACTTTTCAAGGAGAAGCATGTTTTACGACTTGAGTTTATCTGTCTAGTGACCTTGCAACTGCACAGCTAGGGAAACGGGGCCTTCACAATGCCTGGGAAAGGAGGAGAGATAAGGCTCACTAGCCGCAGAAAAACAGGCAGTTAATTTTTAAAGGACTCCAGCTCTTTCTCTTTCTCAGGGGGAATTAGACTTTCTTATATACAACTGAGTTTCTGCTTACACATTCTTCAATTTCTTTTAATTTCTGTTCCAGAGGCAAAGGATCCCTTGAGCCTAGGAGTTCGAGGTTACAGTGAGCTTTGATTGATGCCACGCACTCCAGCCTGGATGACAGAGCAAGACCCTGTCTCTATTTAAAAAATAAAAAAGGCTGGGCGCAGTGGCTCACGCCTATAATCCCAGCACTTTGGGAGGCCGAGGCCAGTGGATCACCTGAGGTCAGGAGTTCAAGACCAACCTGGCCAAAATTTAAAAAATAAAATGAGGCTAATGAGGCAGATGTCTTGCTTAAAGTCAAACAGCTCTGGAAGTGTCAGAGCTGGGATTTGATCTCAGGTATGTTTGGCCCCAAAGTCTATACCCTTAATTATTGCACTAGACTTTTGGAAACAATTTTTTTAACTTTTTTTTTTTTTTTTTTGAGACGGAGTTTCACTCTTGTCGCCCAGGCTGGCATGCAATGGCACAATATCGGTTCACTGCAACCTCTGCCTCCCAGGTTCAAGCAATTCTCCTGCCTCAGCCTCCCAAGTAGCTGGGATTACAGGCGCCCGCCACCACACCTAGCTAATTTTTGTATTTTTGGTAGCAATGGGGTTTCACCATGTTAGCCAGGCTAGTCTCGAACTCCTGACCTCAGGTGATCTGCCCACCTGGGCCTCCAAAAGTGCTGGGATTACAGGCGTGAGGCACTGCGCTGGCCACCATTGTTCTTTTTTTTGTTGTTTTTTTTTGTTTTTTTTTGAGACAGAGTCTCGCTCTGTCGCCCAGGCTGGAGTGCAGTGGCCAGATCTCAGCTCACTGCAAGCTCTGCCTCCCGGGTTTACGCCATTCTCCTGCCTCAGCCTCCGGAGTAGCTGGAACTACAGGCGCCCGCCACCTCGCCCGGCTAGTTTTTTGTATTTTTTTAGTAGAGACGGGGTTTCACCGTGTTAGCCAGGATGGTCTGGATCTCCTGACCTCGTGATCCGCCCGTCTCGGCCTCCCAAATTGCTGGGATTACAGGCTTGAGCCACCGCGCCCGGCCCATTGTTCTTTTTAAATGAAATCTTG